GCATAGCAGGTACCGGGTATATAGTATTATAAATAATAATAAATATATATATCTGTCCACTGAACATCTTTGAGTATCGAAGAGTGCATCAGCATAGCAGGTACCGGGTATATAGTATTATATATACGGATTAAGCGACTTATGGAGGAAATAAAATGGGAAAGATTTAGCATGTTTGAACTGTCATTCTTTTAAACTAAAAATTCATATTCAGTTAGAAATTGTAAAAGCCAATTTTTTTTAGAAATCTTTACTGCCTTGGGACTTCTTTTCAATTTGAAAAAACAAAACCTAACTGACTGAAAATTCAATTTTGAAAAAGTTTTATCATCTTTCTTTCAAATGAATAAAGAATAATTGCAAAATTATCAACAATTATGAATCTGTTTTCTCATCAACTAGAATTCTCTGTCCAAATCTCCGTTCTAAGGCGCCTTTATAGGATCAAATTTCAGACCACATGAAATGTATATTTTGATTAAACCTTTTAGTTGCTGAAAGTAACAGGTCTTGCTTTTGCCAGTGAGGCGGCAGGGGCGGTACTTGTAAAGGCGTTATAAATTGTGCAGTTTTTAAGCAGTTTAATATGTGGTGATAATAATTTGCCACATGTGAAAGTTCAAGCTCAAAGGCGTCTCATGTCCCTTTCTGTGCCTTTAATGACTGATGAAATCTGAGCACTGATGGAAAATGTAGGAGCAGTATAACTGCGAAGCTTAGTCATGCCCAGAATGTAATTGGATTAACGTGCGGAAGTTTGCGACTGTTACCCTATCAAAAAGAATCGTAATATGACTGACCGATGCTGAAGGAGAAGTACATTAATGTGATAAGTCCAAGATTTGCACTATCTCAGAAAGAGTACATATGGAATAATATAAGGAGGACTAAAGTACCCAGCGAGGAGGACTTATGTATTATTGATATGTACATAGTCGTTATCATCAGACATGCTTAATTCATGAATTCATTTTTATGTTGACCAAGATTAGTTCTTAATTGCACCGTAGTTGTGAATTTTATTTCTAACTGAAAGCACACGTCTAAGGCTGACTTGCTTTGCAGTTGATTCGTCAATCTGAGGCGGAAGACCGTTTCGAATTTCGTTCCAAATTTAACTGTGGTTCCATACGCTCGGATTTCGTATTAAGATCTTTATACAATAAATATCAATCAGAACATAATAACATCCGGCGTTGCCGGGCCAAGCCAGAACGAGAGAAGATGGGGAATGGAAGCCATTGCGAATTCTTCCAAAAACATGTCCACCTACCGCTCATGTTATTGCGGTTATTGAACGTTATGTGGTTCGTTCCTCCAACGTGTTACTAATGGTCCTGAAGGCTGTTTGGGGAACGAAGACAGAGAGCGAAAAATCGGCATTTAGCACCTGCTTCATGACGACGACTGCCGAAGGTTGAAAAGATAACGACAAAAGAAGTAGTCAGTAAAGCATCCGCTAACTGTTCAAAAGAGAGGAAACAGGCGTCGCAATGCCATTATAACACGGCCGATAAAATTCCGCGCGAACGACGCCGACATTAGGAGCTTACAGTCGAAAATTGGAACCTCTGATTACTCGGAGTAAAAAAAAAAGGAGCTAGCTGATGATGACATAGCTTCTGGCTGGACATCATTGTACTTTTATCAATGCAGCGCCAGGGATATGAAATTCTGATTCCTTGAGGATGGGAGGTATTCTGCTTAGATATCAACATCAAGACACACGCTCAGGCATCCTGCCAATTGCAAATGGCTAAAGAGGAAGGTGTAATCTGATGATTCGGTGAAAATTAGCATTGACTTTCGCCATTTCGCCCCCACCAACTCCCATTTTATAAAAGGCATTAAATATTTCATTGCTCGTTTCATGTTACCTATCGATCTGTAGGTTATTACTGTGTTGGCTGTAAATTTGGCGTTAGCACTGAGTTGTAGATTGCACTTGTATAATTTTTGAGTACAATTTATTGTTGCATAGAGTATTTTAAGAGTTGCTCGGTTTTAGTTGCTGTTTCATTTGCCACATATTTCAGTATCAGAGAAATGTCGAAACCACGTAAGATTCTATGAAAAATACAACCTGAGCTGACGAAATTTTATTACAGGTGGTGGTAAGAAAAAATTTGGTCATAAAGGTGGTTCTCGCCACTTCACCGATTTCGAGGAACTGAAGGCACAGCAGGAGGAGATAAGACGGATGAAGAGTGGAATTGTATGCCTCTTGATTTTTGCGTTCTTTTGTCTGTGATCCATATTCCTATGTGATGATGAGTTTCAGGTGGAAGAAGGCGACGAAGGTGCAGGCACGAAACTTGCGATGGATTCAGCATCGCGAGATGTTGCCGGTTCGGATGCATCAACGAGTAGTGATGAGGAAGACGACGACGGCTCAAAGCATAAGGGTGTGCAGCACCTGATCGAGATCGAAAACCCGAACCGTGTCAAGCAGAAACTGAAGAAGGTCACCGAAGTAAACGTAAATCTGGACGAAAGTCAGCTCAGTCGAAAGGAGAGGTAAGCAAGTACTTTTATTTTGATATTTAACTAGGTTTCAAAGTTCCTACGTTTCTTCACTCGTGTGATTCTAAACCTCTTATCTCTTCTTATTTAAAACCCTGATGACCTTTTCGACTGTGCATTGAAACCGTATATCTTTGGTTGATTCAAGATTAAATCTTATCAGTTGTTACTTTTGTATCACTAGACGTTAAAAAAATCCCTCCTGCTGGAGCAGCAGTTTTCATTAGTGTGCTTGTATCAGAAGTTATAATATAATAAAGCAAATTTTGATCAGTTCGGTTAGCATTATAAGTTTCAGACGTGATGATACTATTGAGTGGTATTAAAGCGTGTCAGCAATGAAAAAATTGTACCCTCAGTTTTACTAAAAGGCCTCAATTGCTTATGAATCAAAAATCACATGACTTGAAACATTTTTGTGTGTTGTAACCTGCTGTTCTGGGGCTGACCAGGGCCTACCACACTCATTTTAAATAGGCAGCAATTTCTGTTTCATAATCTCAGGTACTGCAGAGCTGCATTCCGATGGGAGGACCGAAAAGATCTTCTACGGAGCTTAACATCATTCATCATACGACACTCGCGCAAGAGGATTAAATATCGCATGAAATTGCGCAACATGCTGTCGACTCACTATGACATGTTTTTTACGCTCCGAAAAGGTTGTACGATTTGTTATTTTACCGTATTCTCGTCTTTCCAACTCGAACCCTCTGTAGTGGATTACGGAACTGATCTTTATTTGTTTTATCTTGTAATTTCTGATAGGAACACACATACGAACCATATTGGTCCAGCTGTGGGGCGGCAACCTTTTGAACATGGATTTAGAGAGATGTAAGGTAATCAGCTTAGGTGAAGGTGACGCTCTGAAACTCAGTATGATATGGCAACTCAGCTGATATGGCACTCATCAATTGTTTGATAATACAGCGTATTATTTTTTAACTGTCGAAGATTTTTTGTCAAGGTATACTTGTAGGAATTGCACAGCGATAAGTAGTAAGAGTTGTTTAGCGATAATTTTGCTTAGACATGGGCGATAAGGCGATGTATCGATCCGTTCATTTTCATCCACCACCTGAAGCATTATAGACGAGTATTAGCAAAGGTTAGATACCTTATCATCGAAATCTGATGTTGTAAATTTCCTTTAACTGGACTTCTAGTCTTCTAACCTCGGAAGTTGGAAAAACGAAAATTGCAATAGTCTGTCAGTAAATCTGTGGCTTGAGCAGTATATTATTAATGTGCAATAATAGTAATAGTAGTAATGATAGTGTGCAAGCATGTGTAATTATGTGATTAAGGAATGGGTGTGTGCTATTATCGAAAAGGGCTGGAAAGAAAAATAATAATGCAAAATCGTCATAATTAAAATTAGCCCAGGTATTTTGGTTTTACTTATAACTTGCTCGCTTTTGATACCGCTGGTAAGAATAACAGTCTGATTCTATCAGCGTTGTCGGTCCGTTCTCTTGTTTATAGTAGCTTAGGGGACCGTTTATAAGCAGGCAACAGCTGCATGGTATTTTTGCACCTGTAGCGATATCTCCGTATGTCTTTGTTCTCTTACAAACACGAGTCCAGAGATGCTGATTAACAACGATTTTCGAACGCAAGAAGTCGGCATACCCTTTCACTATTCATGTAAATAAGCTGCCGTTCTGCCTATAAGTTGACTGCCGTTAGTGAATATGAAGATAGTAATAATCACTATTAACAGCCTCAAATAGATAATTATCAAAATTCTTTACTTTGGTTGAAGGTTAGCCAGCCATAAATATTATAGGGAGGCCATAGAAAAGCAACGTGCACGAGAGAACTACTTGCGGCTGCATGCGGAAGGTAAAACGGATGAAGCGAGAGCTGACTTAGCTCGCTTGGCGATAGTTCGAAAGCAACGAGAAGAAGCCGCAAAACAGCGTGAACAGCAGCATCAAAAAGGTATGCTGAACCAGACGCTACGTGTGCTGGCTCCATAATTCAGTGCAGTTCTACTGTGTTATTTCTCATCTCTTTGCGGTGAATGCTTGAAAGCTAAAGGCGTTTGGACTTTTGCATAGAAGCGCAATTACGGCAGATGCGCACCACATATACATGTGCGCATATACATTACATCAGTGGCGCTGCATCTGATTTCGTAACATTACTCATTTATCGATGCCGGTGTTTCAACAGCAGTTAGCAGACTGCGGTAAACTTGCCATATTAATTAAAGTATGTGACCTGCTAATTAATGTCTCCCTGCGCTCAAGGAACAGGTCCGCAGTGAATATTACACGTCCTTCCACATCTGAAGCTTGTGAAATGTGATCCAACAGCTAAGAACTTGTCAAGTGACAAACAGGGTCGAATGCCTAATACCAGGATCTTAATATCTGCCAATTTAGATTCATCATACTGATTATTGAATTACCGTTTCTAACTATCAGAATGTTACTGGCGAGATGATGGTTGCGTAAGTGCTTATTTCAAGTTGGTTCAATTTCTGAATCAAAAACTCAAAATTAGTTGACTTAGATAGAATTAAGAACAGTTTTCAGACATGTTATTGGCCGGATATACTTCAATTCCTCTTCTAGGTTACACGAAAAATGTATTTCTCAGGTATAATATAGATTAAATTATTGTTCAATGTATTCTCCTCAGGGGACACTAGGGGTGACGATGAACTGTCATGAATTCGAAAACGGTCCTTTGAGACAGTCGACTGAATCATTGTGAGGATTTAAGCATCAGGTCATGTCTGTCTAGCTCACGTTCGTGCAAGAATTCGCTTGACTACGGGGGATACCCCTTGGTCATTGAAACAATAGCGCCGTAACGAACGTCCTCTAATATCATTGTTAATACGATGCTATTTGACAAGGGATGAACAGTGGTTTTCCACAGCTCAGGTCGACTGAAATTGGACTAGGTAAGAATCATAGTTACTGAATATAATGAGAAAGGGTGTAAGTTTATAGTTTTGTTTTCTAAAGAAGTGTTGTACCTGTGATACTTTGTACTGATTTTTGGTCAGCTATCGGGTGGATCAAAGCGAATTGGTGTAAAGCGCACGCTTCAGATAGCAGGTTCCTATCCCGGCATTGTCACTTTTAACATTACACTGTTCCTGCTGTTAGCAGGTGTGTCTTGCTTCGTGTTTCTCGGTTTGCTTCACAGAAGCAACAAAAGATGAATTCTTTGCTTAACAGTCAATAAAAAACACCGGTTTTAAAATGCAGCATGTTCTTGTAACATCAAACTACTCTGTGCCGCAATCCCTTCTCCACTGTTAACGTCTACAGGCTTGCATCGATTCTACGATTTAAACTTCATTTGGGTGCTCAACTGCTGTTTTACGTTCTTGTGGTTGATTTTAGCAAAAGAAACGAACGAACGAGGCAAATGAAGAGCCGGTCAACCGAACGTTAAGCTGTTCGACTGAGCGCTTACTCGTTTCTGAATAGAATGTCGGTTGATACCACGTCGGTATGCACGATAATATTCGATACATTTTTATTTAACGGAATGCGTGAACGTCCGAAATTGTAATTAATTTTTTGTACGTCTTCTTTACTGCTTTCAGGAATAGATGTTAGAGATGCTTTTTTGTAATGGTATTTGTCTGCAATGCGATCAGAATGAATTACACACCTTGGTGACGAAACCGAAAGGACGGCAGCAACTTTCGAATTTCGTGCGCACTGCGATTTTAATTTATGGACATTGTTTTAATTAGTTTAACAATTTTTTGGCAATAAATGCATTTTGTACTATTCGTTTTATTTGAGTTTTAGGACGCAAGATTTAGTGAGCCGCTAGAAACTGAAACAGTCATCGCCGACCACTGTCTAGAGTTCCCACTCAAAGACAAGTACCTGCTTTCTGTCGACCTTTCCCTTTGTTGATTTCTCTAGAGCGAGCTTGTAGTCTTTGAAAGGCACCAGTTCACAGAGCGGCGGCTGCAGCTCCTGGTTGCGAAACATCTGGCACAAGTCCTGCAGCATTCGTGTTCTTTCATCGGCGTGCTTCGGGTCTAGGTTCCAATGCGACATCCAAAATCCGTACATGCTGATGTCTTGGAAAATGAACGATCCGGTGCTGACCTGCAGAGGTTGCTTTGACATGCCCCCGTAGGTGACCATCACACCTTGAACGGCCAGCCATTGCGACAGATAGAGCGTGCTCTTTCCTGAAACGCAGTTTAGTGCAAGCTTCGGCTTCGGTATCGTTTTCATCGCTTCTCTCCCCTCCTTGCTCCTGAGCTGCTCATCGGTGAATACGTGATCGGCACCCAATTTGCGAAGATGGTTCTCTACCTCAACCAAATTCGGACGATCCCGGATGACGTTGATACTTACAAGGCCGTATTTTCGGCACAGCTGTATGACCATCTGGCCAACGACGCTATTGGCCCCATTCTGAATGACCACGTCGCCTTTATGCAGTTTGACAAAGTCATTCAGCATCCGATAGGCGGTAGGCGGGTTTATCGCAAGGGTGGCGGCAGTAATCAGTGGCAGGTCATTCGGGATCTTCATCACTTGACTGCGGTCCCAGATAACGCCGCTACGCCACGTTCCGTAGCCCGACTGCATGGGCACCACCCAATCGCCGACGTTGAGGTCACTGACTTTGCTTCCGACCTCATCGATGCGTCCAACGCCCTCGTTTCCTCCAACAGCCGGCAGAGCGGGCTTGATTGGGTACACACCCTGCACCTGATTTATATCTGCAGGATTTATGGGGGCAGCTAACATCTTCACTCTGACTTCGGTTGGTCCAGGAGGTGGCAGGGGCGAACTCGCCACCGTTAGCACTTCAAGAGGCTCACCATAAGCGGCATACTGAAGCCGCTCTGCATGCATCTTTCGGCAGAATGCAACAAGAAATCGGCGCCCTTGACATGGCCTCAGCATTCGGAAGAGAATCATTTTTACCGGAAAGTTCCTAAAGCAGAAATTGACTTTTGGCATAAATATCCATATGAATTTTGATATCGAACTCATCTTATATAAAAAATGATTAAAAAATCATTAATTTACAGCGGTAAATAAATCCTTAAAAATTTAATAAACGTAACTGTATATTATAGCGCCGAATTCTTTAATGGTCTTTTAAAAATCAGTTGTTTTCCAAACGTATTGCAACATTCAGTTTGTTTTCTAGAGTAAATTTGTGAATGATGTATCTACCATTTGTAGAAAGGACCCATTCTTAGACAACTTAAAAATTTTACCAGATCAAAGTTACCACCGAAACCGAACAAAACGTTTACCGTTTTTGGGCGTTCTAATCACACGACTGCCTAAAGGCATCGTTTCTATTTTGGAGGAAACGTTTCTAGGAACAATGTATACTGTCAAAAAGTGAAGGAGAGTTATCAGAATGGTTAACCATTAACTTCAAAGTCTGCCAGTGACGTGCTTTAGCTTTTGCTACTCAGCATTATTCTCGACTTTTTTGTAAACAATGTTGACCATGATAATGATGGTTGCATTCTAGGAGGAAGGCACAGTTAACGGTATTTGGTCAGGTATTTTGCCAATTTGAGTGCACAGATGATACTGCCTTGCTAAATCGCACGATGAGCTGGTTCTGTTGCCTGACGGCTGTAAAAGCCGGCCTCTTCTGGAAGCCAAAAGTTATAAAGAACCCGCCCGATACAAGTGGAACAGCGCGATGAAGCGATTCAGCAGGTTGACCAATTTAAGTATTTCATCTCTTGCAATGGAACCACTCAGCTAGAGTTAAATAAGAGGATAGACGTAGAGTTAAGTTTATTTGGAAACCTTTTCAATATCTGGGCTGAGAAAGAAGCAATTCTTTCTAAAAACATCTTCGTTTACCTTGCCTCTGTTAGCTCACTGTTGTTACACGGCACGAAAACAGTTGCTGTAATGAAGGAACAAAAAGAACGGTTGAACTGCAAGCGGCAGCGTTCACCTTGAATCATAATCAAGGTTAAACGGCAGCACCGTGTAGGGAATGACTATTCTCTTTTGTTCACAAGTGAACTCAGTAAATATAAAGATTGTGAAAAGGAAGTTTGTTAGACAAATTAGTTGAACATAAAACATTTACTGCATCCCGCGAGCTTCACGTTTGCTAACCAAAATACAACGGACATCGACCAATAAAACGGCATGAAACATGGCGGAACAACAGAGAGAGATCTGTTTTCGGGGAAGAATATTTGATTCTGCTACGAACTAAGTGGTATCTCATAAAAAAAGCTAAAAAGGGCTTCGAATGCATCGACCATCACAAACGAGAGACGTTCTGCAATGTATATAGCAATTTTATCGAAAATATAATCACGCAGATGAAGAATTTGAATAGTATAAAAATTTACCATGGATATAAAAAAATTATTTTTTAAGGTTTACTTCTAATCGTTCTTGTAGAGTAGAGTAGAAAAAAACATTGCTATGAGTTGTTAATAAATACAAAAAATAAGTTCTGACGATACTGGTATTTGTAGAGAACTTTGAGGTGTAAAAATTAGGATGAGGAAGAAATAATTATTACGTCCAACGGTCATCAAGCCAGTCATCGACAAATGGAAGGTGATGTATTTATCGGTTGTGGTTAAAACTACCTATAAATGATCGCTTCATATCTACGTTCAAAACTTGTGCTCTACTCTGAACTAAATTAAAGTCCAGGATTAAAATATGGAAATGTATAGCGCATTTTGTGTATATAAATGATCTGAATTTGTCTGAGATGAGAGATCGGTAAAAGAGCAGGATAATCTAATCGAAATCGCACGAATCTTTACGGAAGATATCAAAACAGAATCCGGTGTGAATAAGTATGCTGTAGTCGAAGTAATAAAGAGAAAGATCTGGTAAAATAACATCTTCGAAGAAGAAGAATAAGCTTCGAAGTTGTATAAATAACTGAGCCAAAAATCTACAAGATATTACAATCACAAAAAATGAAATTAATGACAAACGTGGAACATAAGAACAGAATTCTCCAAATCCTACAGAGTAATTTGTGCGGGAACAACAAAATTGTGGCCATGAAAGAGTATGCTACAAGTGCTGGCTCATAGAGGAGGCATCGTCGAGTGGATCTCAAGCGAAGAGGCTAGAACTCGCTAGAAAGACATGAAAGATTATGAATATGTACGGAACAGTACATCCGAAAGCAGATAAGAACAGAACATATATCTCGTGTAAACAAAAGAGGATGAGAGCATTAAACTACTACCAAAAATAAATGCTGGAACTTTATTTGGCAAGGACAATGAAAGATAGGGGGCTAATTGCAGTAATGATTAACGGTCTACGGAAATTAAAACAGCAAACACCTAGAAATGCATAGAACGCCTGATACAATGGTAGGAAGAATAAAGTGTTTCAGGTAAAATACCTTATCATCAAATAAATGCGGACAAAGACATCAGTCAAAATTTCAACTGGCTATCAAAAAGTAAACTGCATCGTGAAATGGAAGCCAATCATATAGCTGCTAACCAACCTTTTTCAAACCAATTGATAATAAGCGAAAAACCTGAACACACGGTCAGAAAGGAAGTGAAAAAGGTGCAAAGTGATGCGTGAAACCGTTAACCTTGTAATTTTCGGCTACGAAATGCTCACTAATCCAGAATACAAAGAAAGGGATAGTAATCTTGGAAGAATGGTACATTAACATGTGGAAACTAGCCAACCAACTAGTGGCAAAACAGTAGTGGAAACATAAGCCGCTGAAAAGACTGGGCACCTGAAAATACTGACTTCCCAATACGATATGATAAAGAAATATTATCCAGATTATCAGATGATATGTTAGCAGACAAAGCAAAAATGTAAATCATTCATACAACATGGCCGGCCCACGGCAGCGTTGCTATTTATTATTAACGGAAGAGAAAAAATACTTAAATATCAGGAATTAACGATATAAATAAAAAAATCTTGAGAATAAAGGCGGGAGCCACTCTTGTACTGATCGGTGCGTCGGAGTAGTTAAAAAAGTCCATCAGCGACTACTGAAGTTAACTGATGAAGCGATCAAGTTGGATGAACTGCAAAAAGCTACTATTTTAGGAAAAGTTCGGATTTTAACGAGGGCACTGCGGTTCCCTAAGCCTTCGCAGAGTTCGAGCTGATGTTCATATCATTCATATTTCATGCAGTGTGAGAGAAATAAAAACTAACCTTTTCAGCAATAACAGAGCAAAATTTTCTGCCGTATCTTTCGGTTTAAGCGCGCATGCAACTACCAATTATTACAGTAGAATAGTAAGCCATTGAAAAGGAGGCCTCAAATTATACACTCCTTAAGTAACGTACACGATGAAACGTCGGCTATCAAAACAGCTATGAATGATGGTGGGCGGATCACTTTAGACGCTGTGAGGCGTGTGGTTAAGGAACCGACTTTCGGACTATGGATCACAGTGAATATTAGAGCCTATGTCACATACAACAGAAGCATAAGACGGAACATGATAGGTAATGTAGTGTCTCATGCATCCTCTACGCCCCGAATGATCCTTAAAAGGTCAATAATTAAAATTTATATCGAATTAGAAATACTAAAAATTCGGTGGGCTATGTAAATACCCGTTTAACTCGAAATTATTCTGTCATAAAAATGCCATATTAACGTCATCTCTACTTGCTCAAATATCTCAACGGTCGTCAAGGACTTTCGTTAGAAGCAATATGAAAAATCGACTGATTCTCATTCCATTCGCCCTATGTTGCTGGTACAGATGGCATGTTAAGCCGCAGCTTTCATCCGTAAGTTTGAAAGACAAATATGAAACCAGAGTTGTTGTTATTAAGCTGCTGTTGTCATCATCATCTGGGATATCAGGGTCAAGAACAGAGTACCCAGAATAATGATGTCATATCATGAAATTAGAGGATGGCTCATCGAGCCACTTAGATCACCGACCCAGATTGATGACAGTAGCGTAGCAGAAGTACACAAAAATTCTATCCCATATAAAATTAGAAAACCTTCTGCAAAACCTCCATAAAGTTAAAAGTAAGATATCCAAAGCTACGAGTAATCCAACACCAGCTAAAAAAATTGCGTAGAGCGAAGAACTGTCTTCAACTAGTTGGAAGATCTGCAAGTATAAATGTTACTAATACTACTCAAAAATACCACATTACGATCTTAACAGTGTAGGCGTCTAAAACGGACTGACAATTCTGCTTAATACGCCTGTTCTTCAGCTTTGTGTGGTACAATTATGCTGCTCATTGTTTCAGGACATTTATGCATCAGAATTAAAACAGGTATCGTGTCCACACTGTTACGGCATGGTACAAGCCGCTTGATAAAATGATGTTCGATTCTAATAGTACAACACATTTTGCGCACCATCATTTCTGAATCAATGCCAGCAACGCTGTCAGTTGCCCGATGACCAAATACAAAGATGCTGAAATTCATAGTTGCCTGATTGCTTAATCAACAGTCAATCAGTCATTGATTGACAGCTCAATCATTTGTTTGCAAAACATTTTAGAGACTTTGCACCTCCTTGTTCCTCAAATCAACCTGCATTGAACGGTTAAGTGCAAATCTTACGTGTTTATTTTACAATCAACCCTTTCAGCTAAGCGACTTTTGCCATTGACAGCGATGAGATGTTAAACTCATTTTTTAGGAAGCAAGTTTTCTTCGGGTCATAATCATACAGAGGTGTAGGGCAAAAAACATTTGCAGTGTAGTTATTGTTCTCTTGAAAATTATTAGTTGACGCATTAGCCAAAAACTATGCATTAAATGGTGTATTCTGCACAAGAGCTTTGGAGTCATCTGCTTGGACCGCTTATGATTTTGATGTTTGCACACCTGTTGATCAGCGGTGCTTGACGAATATATTCTGTCACTTTTCCACTGACACTTGCAACCTCCTGAAAGAATATCGCTTATTTATGACCTTGTACATGTTTTT